GTTCCTCATCGAAACCACCAGACAAAACAGTTTCTCTCTTCCAGGTCAAAGGAGCAGGAGCAGCATGAAAACAGAGTCGGCCAAGGCAAACAGAAAGCAAAAGGGGCACCAGCGGTGTCCTCTACTGACCACTGCGCTGCCCAAGAAACTGAGAGGCCAGCAGCAAAATAAAGGGGAAAAAATTCCAGCAAGGCAAGGGATAGGCAAGGAACAGTAACGTATTCATTGCGAAAGGCTCCAGAGCAGAGCTGCTGCAGCAGCGTGGGGCATGGAGCACAATGCAGCTCTGTATCTTTCAATACATATCTTGAAATAGTCAATAAACTGCCACTAGGTTATGTCACTTATGATGCAGATCCCTAGGCGCTTCAAGCAAAAAAAAAAAAAATCAAAAGCTTCAGGAATGTTTCCTGAGGGAAAGAACCAAAGGAAAAACGGGATAAAAGACAGAATAACCCAATAAGACAGGATGCAGAGAACACTTTTGTCAAGTATATTCTGATCTCAAAGCTTTTTGTAAGCCTCCAGGAACACAAGTGATGCTACTCTATAGCTTACATTGATACCTCAGCTCAACATTTACCTCTCTCTTGTAAAGGGAGGATCTAACTGACCTCCCTCCTCATGCAAGTAACACTCTATAATGATGGAAAATGGCTTCTGCTTACCAACCACAAACACAGGAGAAAAAGCATGCGGAAGCTCTGTTTTTTAATACATATTTATAAATATTACTCTATATCACACTATTATACTCATAATGAAAGTTCTTGCTGCCAACCACCCTCTAACGGGAGATGTCAGACTATTTGTTCCTCAACACTCATCCAGGTATAGACATAACCTTACAGCAAATGTTTCATCTCATTTACCAATGCAAATGACTGCAGCTAACTTGTCCAAAGAGATGCGGCACCAGAACCACCAGCACTTGCAGGAAATTCTTTCACTGCTGATCAACTAATTCTTGAAAAGTTGCAGCAGGAAAAACTTGCAGAAACAATCACTCACCAGGAGGACAGACACAGAGAAAGCGGTTCACTTTGTTGAGACACACTCCGTTGTTCACACAGGGATTACTGAGACACTCATCAATATCTTCTTCACAGTGAATACCTTTAAATCCTGAAAAAAAACAACAAAAAGATGTGACTGAAGGAATTAAAATGTGCTTCTAGGATTCCTGCTCAGTGCTGAAAGCCCAAGCCAGAAGCCTGTCAAAAGAAATATCTCGAGCGTGCCCAGTTCATCAACAGCAACAGAAGAACAAGTGCGCATCAAATTCAAATCTAATGCTTTCTTCTGTATGATGACAAGCTATTATGTTTTAGTGTTTCGGAAAGGATCATCAACAGATTTAGGTACGCAGCAATATAAAAGAAAGTGTGAGGCACTAAATAGCAGGCATTAAAAAAAAAACAAAAAACCTTAAGCTAAAATTAATGCCAGAACTGAAAGACAATTTTAGGATAATTAAAAAAAAAAAAAAAAAAAAGGAACTTGTTTTCCATCTCTCTCCAGAGAGTTAGGTGTTAACCTAAAATTCCAGTTTTCATGGTATCAGCCGATAACCTGCAGGGGTCACAATTCTTTCATTATACTTTATAAGACTGTAAAGCTGGGAACCTGCACTTTGAAACAAAACACTTTCTATTAAGAAGTCAAAAGAGCAGACTGTACAGATGCTTGGTTTGATGGACATGGTATATTTTATATGCAAGATTCAAATCAGGTAACATTTTTATGGTTAGTTTCGATGGAAGATTGGATCTTTTGGGATATTTTAAACGACGTAGACCAGAAACAATCCTGCTCTTTTATCAGGAACCATCACATACACAGCTCAGAACACAGTCTTCTTTTAGCGTTTGCACCTGCCTTGCTTGCACCAATAGAAGTTTCCATTGGCGCTCACACTAACCTCAATTTCCATTCACATGCTTTAATAGGCAGAGCAGGAAACATGTCCACAGGTGGGGCAGCTAAGACCACAACCAGAGAGTCACAGATTCAGTATTGTTGGAAAAAACCTTCAAGACCAGCGAGTCCAACCGTGAGGCCACACGCTGCGCTCACAGGCGATGCCAGCAGATCTCCTCCTCTCTCCCCACGCAAACAGCCAGGTCTCTCTGGGTGGCACTGCCACCGCTGGCCCTCTCTCCTCGTTTCACATGGCCTCACCCCAGCACAGTTTGCTCTGCACCTCGGCTGAGCTGGCAACCCTTGCTGCACTCCACCTGCTGATCCCTCCCGCTCTTTCTGGAAGCCTCGTCTTTCCCAGAAACACGTCTCACCTGGCATACACAAACACGTGAATCCTCCAATTTTGTCCAGGCAGGTGGCATCGTTCTGACACGGATTTGAATGGCATTCGTTGATGTCCATTTCACACCGAGGTCCTGTATAACCCTTCAAACACTCGCAGTGGAAAGAGCCCTCTGTGTTTACACATTTCCCAGCATGTTCACACGGATTGCTGTTTGCTGCAAGAAAAATATGTATCTGTGTCAAACCCTTTCCTCTGAGCAGGAAAGCCACAGCAACCTTTATTATTCCTGATCTTTCAATGCCATTCCTTTTTGCCAAGTACTACAGGGGAAAGGACCATTCATCCTGCTGGGAAAAGGCTGCAATCCTTAGCAACGGTCCAAAGGAGCAATCCTGGTTCATACCAGAATCAACAACAGCTCCAGAGAGAACATGGATTAGAGAATTAACCCTGCTTTGAAGGCCTCATCTCTAGGTTATCTCTTCCACTTACTTTGCTCCTGATGCTAGCAGTATGCTGCCAAGGTCACAAAAACATCAAGTAGTCCTTCCAGCATTTTCAGAAAGGAACTGTGCTCTTGTCCACAGCAGTCTGAAGAGTGAACTTCATGGGAATGTTTCCCCCCAATCCCGATAACACCTCCCTAGGACTCATGGAAGCACCTTCACCAAGCACACACTGCAAACTAACGCACACGAAACTCCAAGGAAACGTGCAAGAGCCCAGCTAATCCCTAACACAATAGAACAGCAAGGAGAGGGAAGGAGTGTCACTTATGCTGAGAAGCAATGACAAATTTTGTATTCCTACCCCCCCACAAGGGTGTAAAGCAAACGATCCCAACCAGCAAACAGAGACTCACCCATTGCACATTCGTCCACGTCCTCAGTGCAGTCTGCTCCCTTATGGCCTTGAGGACAAGTGCAGATGTAATGACCGTTCACAGGATTAGTGTCACACAGAGCACCCTTCTGACATGGATTGCTAACGCAGGCGTCATCCAAGTGGCACAGAAGACCTAGAGAAGAGTACAAGAGTTCATCCAAAACAGTGCGAGCCAGCAGGCAGACTGCATGTTACAAAATCAAATTCCCCATCCTAATATTTCACACAGAAAACCCCAGAGCTAGAAGTGTGAGTGGTTTCTTGTAGGCTTCAGCTCTCAGACTGCCAAAGGAATTTGACCATGCACTGTCTACATTCGAGTACAGTTATTTTAAGTGGCACACAACATCTCACCACCACCTATAACTCCTCAAAAACAGGCCCAGCAATAAAAATTGTTGTAAGCTTTTCCACTAACTCAATACAAACACTTTTTGTTCTTAATTACAGAGGCGTGAGAAGTCTTTGTGCACAGACAGTATGCATTTCTTTTGTCATTCCTGGTCTTATCACAAAATATTTAAAATAGGCACGCTACTTTAAGCAATGCATCTACTGCAGAGCTATGATGTTTTACCTTTTCAGAAGTGACAGAGCTCCCGCATTTTCCATCCTTACCTGCCTTTCCTTCTGGACAAATGCACGAAAAAGAAGCCACTCGATCAATGCAGGTGGATCCATTGGCACAGGAGGCAGTGAAGCAGTCGTCGATGTTCTTGCTGCAGTCGTCGCCACTCCAGCCGTTGACGCAGACGCAGGCGTAGCCGCCGTTGTGGTTCGTGCAGGTCCCCCCGTTCTGACAAGCGTTGGGCTGGAGCTGACACTCGTCGACATCTTCAGTGCAAAACTGGCCTGTCGTGCAAAGAGGGAACGAGTTTAATACAAAAACATCCACTCGGATACAAATTCCTGCAAAGGTAACATAAGCAAGAGAAACACCAAAGCCCACCTCCTAGTTCTGGGATATTCACAGTTAAGCACCAGCCTAAAAATTACATGAACGTTGTTAGGAACTTAGATGAAAAAGAACCAGCATCCATGTGCAACCTTAGAGAGGAAGCTGAACGACAAATGACTTGGAAAATGCACAGTGTGAGAGCCAGAGGGGGGCCTGTGGAGAGCCGTGGTACATCCGGGAGGATTCCAGACGCGGAATGAAGCCAGCCCGGCCGGCAGAGCAGCCAGGGTGACCAAGAGCGCGGAGCACAGCCCCGCAAGAGGAACGTGGCCAAGGCAGGGCCAAACGGCCAGCAGGGAACTAACCCTTGTCAAGGGAACTTATTTTTTTTCCACCCTATGCAATTATGCAATGCATATTACTTGCTGAAACATTACTTCATGAAGCAGAATTGAATTTTTGAGGGTCTTCTACTAAAAATGGCAATTTTCTTATCCCCAGCTATTTCTGCAAGCAAGTACAAATAGTTTGCCTTTAGAAAGAACAAAGACCCCAAATCATCTGAGAATGAATAAGATTTTTTAATGACTGCTGATATTGAAGTGAAAGAACCAAAAGGGCCCTGTTTCCAGCAGGTTTAAGGGCAACTGCTCCATGAGCACTGAGCATGACCAACTAAAACAGGTTTCACAGAACAGGACATTTTACCACCATATCTCCAGGAAACTCAGCAACTTCTGTCCCTAATGTATTTATTTATCCAAATAACATCCAAACATTGATGCACCTTTTCTATTCAAACTGCATGGTTTAATATCTTAGATTGAAATTGTTCAGCTCAAGTTTGAAGTCATTCATTCTTTGAGTTGCTTCAATAGGCTAAAAAGAAATAACTTGGCACCAGCTAGTTGCTTCCCAGGGCAGTATATGGGCACAAATATACACTCAGAAGCCCTGCTCACAATCCACAAATCCAATCCTAGTATTCTTTTTTATAAACTTTTTCTTCTTTTCTTCCCCTTCCATTACATTAGGAACTCTAACTCTGAAATTGCTCTTAAAAAAAATAAAATAAAATAAAAAGCTTGTTTATAACTAGCTGCTTTTCAACATCCTTCTTAAAATGCTGACAGGAGGTACATAGCACCCAAGGAAGTCTCTTTATCTAAGAATAAAACTAGATTTGATTGGACTCCCCTCCTTTATGTTGTTTGTTGACACCTCCCCTCCTTCACGAGCCTGCAGCAGCTTTCCCTTATTTCAGCCAAAACTGGTTTAAGCAACTACATTGCTATTACCAAAATCCTACTACCAATATCTTGCCCTTCCTCATCAGCTGCACACACATTCATCCGGAATTTCCCAAGTATTCCAAGAAGAAGAAATTCAAGAGGAGGCCACTGATTTTCCCTGCCAACTCTCCTGGGTTACAACATATCCAGTTTTGTCGATTTAAAAATTCTTCCTAGATATTGCTTAGTAGTCACCTCCTTTATGAATGGCCTGGAAATTATGATGCTAATACACAAGCACACATTTTATTTTGACACACAGAGCTAAAACACTTATTGCTGGTAAGAACGTAGTAACACTAAGCCATCACCATCTCCACCTACTACAGCCAAGCTGTGATACCAGTTCCTTCTGTAGAGCTTTCTGATTGAAAACCTCTGCTCAGATATTCAGTAAAATAGTTCAGGCAAAATATAATACCAAAGGAACGTTGCGATTACCTGCAAAACATATTGTAAAAAGCAAAGCAATGCATGTGTCCTAGGAGCAGTCATTTGCTCAGGACCTTTCATTATTAGCAAATCCATTAGCTTATCAGTAGCCAAACTGAAGCGAGTCAGTTATCTCAGCCTGGTGCCTGGTGGTTGTGCATATCACAGGACTCGTCAACACAACCGACTTCCTTTCAAAAAAACAATAATCAAGACGGTATTTGATTATAAAAGCTATTTTCCTCTTGTTGTTGGAGGGGGCCCAGTGCAGATCAAAGCGGGTGGCTGCTCTGACGCCGCGCGCTTGCACTGGCCCTGCGTTGCAGAAACATTCGTGCAGCATCTGCATCCTCCTTTTGGGCCACCATCTGAACGCCGCTTGTTCCAAAAGCAAAGAAAGTTCCATTCACAACAGGAGAATATATGAGCAACTTACCACTGCATTTTACTATATGTTAATGGGGAAGACTTGATCTTTATTGAAATTGTTGTATGAAATCCAGCCTCAAACAAATTCTGGGCAAAAAATCTAATGGTCAAAACCAGCACAAGGCCAACAGAGCATAACAGTCTCACTGTATTTTAAGTTCTCAGTCACAGGACAATCACTCCCAAAGAGCTACCTTTGGGAAGGGGGATTGCACCTCCTGGTACCCATGGCAGGGAGAGGGGAACATTTTGGGCAGGTGCTGCAAGGGAGAGACCCGACACTTCCCTGCGTAGCACAGGGCCTGTCCCGGGAGCTTCTTGCACGACTTTCTCCACAGTGGTGACAAAGGCCCTTTCACTGCATTGCGTAAAAAAGGGATTTAATTCTAAGCCTCGCTATGAATATTCTGCACAAGCTTTCTCTCTGCCTGTTTACTTAAGATTTAAATCAAGGGGCACAAAAAGATCTCCAAAACAGTTACTTAAGGGACGCAGCCCCATTTAATTGTAACCGAATCCAGTACATTTATTTGTAGATCTGTACTCGATAAGCTTGTTTTCTGCTTGCTAAGAGCTTTAGGAAGAACCAAGTCTTTCATTCGCAGGGCTGAGATTCAACTTCCAAGCGCAAATTCCACTGTGAACTGTACAGTCTAATGCTCCTCATAATCCTAGCGTTTCCGAAAGCCACTAACCACCACCTCGGCCGAACGTTAATTCCTTTAGCTGACACTTTCTGTGGGTATGCCTGTGCTTGCCTTCTTGCCACTTTCACAATATCTCTCTTGGAAATATAATTAAGTGCAGTGTGAACTAGTGAAGTTAGGTCCTTCCACAAAACTTCAAGTACGCTAATTAGACAACATTTCAATGGGAATACAGAAACATATGCCTGGCAAGAAAGGAAGCACAAATTACTCCGAGAAGCTAATACAAGCCTAACCCGACCTTGATATTTGCAGAGCCTGGGAAATCAGCTAAGTGCAGACTCAGGTTCCGAGTGACCTTGTGCAGAGTAAACAGCCCGTCCATGCGGCGTTTCAAAATTGAAAACCAGAAGTAGAAAAACGGAACAACCTTCAGCTCCAAGTGCTTTTTTGCCCACTATGAAACTAACTGACTTCCTGTGTGCTTCCCCTTGGAGAAGCTACAGGGAATAAAACGCCCGTTCGCCGCTGCGATTCCAGAATTTCCCAAGTATTCCAAGAAGAAGAAATTCAAGAGGAGGCCACTGATTTTCCCTGCCAACTCTCCTGGGTTACAACATATCCAGTTTTGTCGATTTAAAAATTCTTCCTAGATATTGCTTAGTAGTCACCTCCTTTATGAATGGCCTGGAAATTATGATGCTAATACACAAGCACACATTTTATTTTGACACACAGAGCTAAAACACTTATTGCTGGTAAGAACGTAGTAACACTAAGCCATCACCATCTCCACCTACTACAGCCAAGCTGTGATACCAGTTCCTTCTGTAGAGCTTTCTGATTGAAAACCTCTGCTCAGATATTCAGTAAAATAGTTCAGGCAAAATATAATACCAAAGGAACGTTGCGATTACCTGCAAAACATATTGTAAAAAGCAAAGCAATGCATGTGTCTAGGAGCAGTCATTTGCTCGGGACCTTTCATTATTAGCAAATCCATTAGCTTATCAGTAGCCAAACTGAAGCGAGTCAGTTATCTCAGCCTGGTGCCTGGTGGTTGTGCATATCACAGGACTCGTCAACACAACCGACTTCCTTTCAAAAAAACAATAATCAAGACGGTATTTGATTATAAAAGCTATTTTCCTCTTGTTGTTGGAGGGGGCCCAGTGCAGATCAAAGCGGGTGGCTGCTCTGACGCCGCGCGCTTGCACTGGCCCTGCGTTGCAGAAACATTCGTGCAGCATCTGCATCCTCCTTTTGGGCCACCATCTGAACGCAGCTTGTTCCAAAAGCAAAGAAAGTTCCATTCACAACAGGAGAATATATGAGCAACTTACTATTGCATTTTACTATATGTTAATGGGGAAGACTTGATCTTTATTGAAATTGTTGTATGAAATCCAGCCTCAAACAAATTCTGGGCAAAAAATCTAATGGTCAAAACCAGCACAAGGCCAACAGAGCATAACAGTCTCACTGTATTTTAAGTTCTCAGTCACAGGACAATCACTCCCAAAGAGCTACCTTTGGGAAGGGGGATTGCACCTCCTGGTACCCATGGCAGGGAGAGGGGAACATTTTGGGCAGGTGCTGCAAGGGAGAGACCCGACACTTCCCTGCGTAGCACAGGGCCTGTCCCGGGAGCTTCTTGCACGACTTTCTCCACAGTGGTGACAAAGGCCCTTTCACTGCATTGCGTAAAAAAGGGATTTAATTCTAAGCCTCGCTATGAATATTCTGCACAAGCTTTCTCTCTGCCTGTTTACTTAAGATTTAAATCAAGGGGCACAAAAAGATCTCCAAAACAGTTACTTAAGGGACGCAGCCCCATTTAATTGTAACCGAATCCAGTACATTTATTTGTAGATCTGTACTCGATAAGCTTGTTTTCTGCTTGCTAAGAGCTTTAGGAAGAACCAAGTCTTTCATTCGCAGGGCTGAGATTCAACTTCCAAGCGCAAATTCCACTGTGAACTGTACAGTCTAATGCTCCTCATAATCCTAGCGTTTCCGAAAGCCACTAACCACCACCTCGGCCGAACATTAATTCCTTTAGCTGACACTTTCTGTGGGTATGCCTGTGCTTGCCTTCTTGCCACTTTCACAATATCTCTCTTGGAAATATAATTAAGTGCAGTGTGAACTAGT